AAAAACAGGGAGGTGGGGGGGCAGCCCCCCCCCCACAAAAGTATGGGTAACGCTTAAATGTGTGTGCATGCAATACATCAACTTGTGAACACGCACACCCCAGATGAAGTGAGATACACCCCCCCATTCAACTGGGGGGGGTTGTGTTACACCCCCCCCATGCATATAGGTGCAGGTATCACTTTATTCAGTGTGCGTATGTGCCTATGACACAAACACACCCCCATGTGTGCACGCATCAGGATGACTAACATGTTATATACTGTGTGTGTTTGTTACATCCCCCCCCATGCCTATAGGTGCAGGCATCACTTAATTCACTGCGTGTATGGGTGCATGACATCCACACACACCCATGTATAGCTAACGTGTGTGCACACGCTTGTTACACCCCCATGTATATACATATAGGCATCACTTTATTCAATATGTGTGTGTGTGTGTGTGTGTGTGTGTGTGTCACGCATGCATCTGTGTGCACACACAAGGATGGCTAACGTTATACTGTGTGGGTATGTTACACATTACACACCCATGCTGTAATGGATGCTGTATGCCACACACACACACACATCACTGAATATAACCTATGCATGCACACACACACACACGCTTATTATCACTGAATGTAACCTATGTGTGCGTGCACACACACACTTATCACTGAATGTAACCTATGCGTGCGCGCGCACACACACACACACTTATCACTGAATATAACCTATGCGTGCACACACACACACACTTATCACTGAATATAACCTATGCATGCACACACACACACACATCACTGAATATAACCTATGCGTGCACACACACACACACACACGCTTATTATCACTGAATGTAACCTATGAGTGCGTGCACACACACACTTATCACTGAATGTAACCTATGCATGTGCGCGCACACACACGCACACTTATTATCACGGAATATAACCTATGCGTGCACACACACACACACACACACACACACACAACTTATTATCATTGAATATAACCTATGCATGCACACACACACATCACTGGATATAACCTATGCGTGCACACGCGCACACACTTATCACTGAATATAACCTATGCGTGCACACGCATGCGCACGTACACACACTTATCACTGAATATAACCCATGCGTGCACACACACACACACACACACACACACACACACACACTTATTATCACTGAATATAACCCATGCGTGCACACACACACGTCTCAATGATCCCTGGCTTGCTCACTCGCACACGTGTGAGGATGGCATGCATGCACACATCCTTTCCAGCCATCCTCCATGAGTGCACAGCTCCCTGTCCTGACAAACACACCTATCTACATCTCCCCCTAATCCCCTACACACACGCACACACTCACTCTCCTCCCAATGAATGCCAGTTGGGGGTACACACACTCAGAACCCAGGTGTCTGGAAAACACACACACACACACACACATCTCCCCCCCAATTAACACCAGTGGCGGGTAGTGTTGTACACACACAACGACCCAGGTGGTGTCTGGGACACGCACACACAGAACCCAAGTGTTGCACATCCATGCACGCGCACACACAGAGAACCCAGGCATCTGGGGGGGAGCACCCACATCCCCTGCCAACCTTAGCAGTGAGACCCCCACCATCATGTCCAAGCCTGGAGGGGGCAGGTCACAGGTCAGGCTGGGCCTCCTGCCCCCCGCCTGGGATGGCGCACCACCACAGCTGCAAGGCATTGTGGGAGCAGGGGGGCAGGGAGCCCCCATCCTCGTCGTCACTGCTGTCCCATGGTGCCGCGAAGACCCTCTGCCCTGAGGTGCTGGCCAGCAGCGGCAGGCTGGGGTGCAGGCTGGGGGAGGCAGGGTGTCAGAGGGGGGGACCCAGGTGTCTAGGCTCTGCCACCCCCAGTGCTGGAGGGAACCCTGGTGTCCTCCCCCCCCATACCTGATACCGTTGACGCAGTCGGGTACAGCCTGGAAGGCGAGGGCCGGCTCCAGCACGGGCTCAGGGGTCCCAGGGGGGGGCTGTGCCGTGTCCCAGGCACAGATCAGCCCCCTCGTGTCACCACTCACCAGGTACCGCCCGCTCCTGGGAGGGGCAGAGTGACCTGGGCTGGGGGAGAGGGTGCTTGGGCCCCCCCAGCCTTGGAGGGGAATGGCCATTAGGAGGTTTAAGGTAGG